GATCGGAACAGTGGTGCTGCGGTACCAGTCGTAGAAGCCATATATTACAAGCAAACAGCAAAAGTGATGATAGACGGAGAATTTACAGACCCTATCAATATTAAAAAAGGCACAAAACAAGGATGTCCATTATCCCCTTTGTTATTTGTATTGACTTTGGAAGTGTTAAATAGAAATATTAGAGAGGATACAAATATAAAAGGAATGAAAGTTAAAAAGGAGGAATTTAAATTGCAAGTCTTTGCGGACGACTTGGTCTTTATTTTGGAAGATCCTCTAGAGACAGCTTTAAAATTACTGGAAAAGATAGAGACGTATGGTGAGATGGCTGGCTTGAAAATAAATAAAGACAAAACAAAGATTCTGACAAAAAATTTGTTATTAAGGCAAAGACAAGAGTTGGCAGACCTATTGAAAATTCAAGTTACGAATAAAGTTAAATACTTGGGGATATTTTTGACGTCAAGATGTATTACACTGAAATAGAATAACTATATTAAACTTAAACAGCAGATAGCATCTGACTTGAAAAAATGGGAAAACCTACAATTATCTTTGATAGGTAGAATTTCAACAATCAAAATGAATATTTTACCCAGAATTTTATATTTGTTTCAAACAATACCAATTAAATTAGGTAAGGATTATTTTGAAGAATTAAATAAAATTGTGTTGAAGTATATATGGCAAGGTAAGAAGCGAGAATAAAATTAAAACTTTTACAGGATGCTAGAATTAGAGGAGGATTTGGCCTTCCTAATTGGGAGTTGTATTATCAAGCTGCAAACTTAATGTGGGCTAAAGAATGGATAACGTTAAGAAAGTCTAGATTACTGGCATTGGAAGGACATGACTTATTATTGGGTTGGCATGCTTTTTTATGGTATAAGGGAACTAAATCGCAGGGTTATTTCAGAAGGCACTATATACGGGAATCGTTATGGTTGAATTGGGAGAAAATTAAGAAACAATGTTATCTGAAAATACCAGTTTGGTTATCAACTATCGAAGCTTTTTCCTATCCTATAATTTATAAGAAGGAACAAACAGTTAGATATGGGGAAATATTGGATGAAAAGGGTGAACTTAAAACAATGCAAAAGTTAGAAGAACAAGATATAAAGATGAATTGGTTTTCATATGCGCAAATACACTCAAGGTATCTTAAAGATTCTAAAACAGAAGGATTTTATGATAAATTGACTGATTTAGATAGGATTTTGACTGGTTCCGATGAAAAAGTGATTAAAAAACTATATAGTTATTTGTTGGAAATTAAATTAGAGGAAGAACAAGTCAAAGAAACAATGATTGTTTGGGGGAAGAACTTTGGATATGGGATTGATTTAGAGAAATGGCAAAAATTGTGGTCTCAAAATTATAAAATGACAATGTCAGTAGCATATAAAGAAAATTTGTATAAGATGTTTTACAGGTGGCATTTCCCCCCGACAAGAATAGCAAGAATGTTCAAGCACAAATCTGAAAAGTGCTGGAAATGTCATCAGATCCCTGGCTCATATTACCATATGTGGTGGACTTGTGAGGAGGCCAGGAAATACTGGACTAGAATTCGCATATGGTTGGAAGAAATGACAAAAGAACATATAAATTTGAAACCAGAGATTTTTCTATTGGGAATCTTACCTGATACTTTTAATAAAAACTTAAAGTACTTGATTGTAAATGTGTTAACAGCGGCTAGGATCGTATTTGCTAAAAATTGGAAAAGTGAGAAAATACCATTAGAGGAAGAAATTATTAAGAAAATATTGAATTGTGCTGAAATGAGTAGATTGACATTTGAAATTAGAGAGCAAGAAGATAAACAATTTTATGAAATCCTTTCTTTTGCTTATTTGTGTATGTATTGTTGTTTGGTTTTAATTGTAAAAATTAATAAACTATATTTTTTTTTAAAAAAAAAAAAGAGACCAGACAGCCACTTGTTTGAGATGGTATAGGGTCTCCTGCTTGAGTAGGAGGTTGGACTCACTAGAAGACATCGAAAGTCCCTTCCAGTTCTATTCTGATTGATTGATTGATTGATTGATAACTAAACAGGCAATGTGAAAGTGTCTAGGGGCAGCGAACTGGAGGGCACCATAGTAAGAAAGGCCAGCATGCTGCAGAATCTCTATGCCTTGGGAACACGAGCTGAGTTCCATCATCTAAATGAAGATTCTACTGCTGTAAAAGATGGAATAGGAATATTGTACTTTAGAGAATAAGGGTTCAATCAGTCAAGTTGATATTTGACCAGAAAATTGATAAAGAATGTTTCAGTTCTAAAGTTTAAGCAATTAAGCCTTGAGGTCATCTTTTTGATAGGAAAATTCTATGTACATCTATTCAAATATAAACCCTAAATCCCTGTTAAACTCAGGGGTGGGCTGCTGGGGGTTTGCAGGGGTTCAGGAGAGCCCCTAGCTAACATTCTGCACAGTTTGGAGAACCCCCAAATCCCACTCCTGGTTGGCCCCGCCCACCCTGCCCCTCCCCTCCCAGGAATCCCCACACAGCCCCACGCAGCCCATTTTGGATGCAGGTAAGCGCAGGGCATGTGCAGAGGCTCAGGAAGGGTGAGAAACAGGCCTCCCAGAAGTTCGGGAAGGCCGGAAATGGGCCTGTTTCTGGCTTCCAGAGAGCCCCCGGAGTCCCGGGAGTCTGTTTTCACCCTCCCAGAGGCTCAAAGAAAGTCTCCTGAGCCAGGGAGGGCAAAAACTCCCCTCCCCCCGCCATGGTGCAGGAGGCCAACTAGGCCACGCCCACCATGGCCATGCTCACCCAGCATCCAAGCAGAGAACTCCTTGCTAAAATGTTTGAAGCCCGCCCCTGGTTAAGGTCCTGTATCCAAAAGTCATATTAATAGGATAGCCTGGTAAACCAACATGCTAAGCAGGGGTGGGATTCTACCAGTTCGCACCTATGCGCTAGAACCGGTTGTTAACATTCTAAGCAGTTCGGAGAACCGGTTGTTAGAAGAAATTACTGGCCTAATCCTGTAAGAAAGGCAGGAAGGAAACATTCTGGTGTTGCTTACAGAAACTGCCTCTCTGTTGACCCTTATGACATTCTTGGTAGGACTAGACTTCCTGTCTCAGGAATGTCTCTGGAGTTTTTCCCCCCTCCTTTGCTGGTACTCTGCTTGTGTGGAGTGACCATTCAAAGTTACAATGGCACTGAAAAAAGTGACTTATGACCATTTTTCACACTTACAACTGTTGCAGCATCCCCACAGTCACAAGAGACCAGACGAGGAGATGCATGCCTCGATGTAAGTGATGTTGAGTTGGCCACGCCCAGCCAGTCACATTACCACTAACCCACACCCACCAACTAAGTCACGCCCACAGAACTGGTTGTTAAAAAATTGAATCCCACCCCTGATGCTAAGACAATAAAACATAGAAACATAGGCCTGGAAGAGACCCTGGTAGTCTAACCTTCTGCTCAAGGTAGGAGACCTTATATCATCTCGGTCAAATTTTTGAAAATGTCCAGTGATGAAATACCCAAAACTCCAGGATGCAAGCTATTCCCATTGATTAATTGTTCTCACTGCCAGAAAATTCTCCCTCTAGGTTGGATCTCTCCTTAGCAAGCTTCTACCCATTACTGTTTTTCCTCTGGTGCTTTGGAGAACAAGCAACCCCACTCTGCTTTGTAACAGCCCCTCAAGTACCTAGAAGACATTTACTGGGTTCCCACAATATGTTTGCATTAAAATATTAGCCAGACCCATTTTAGCTTACTAAAATCCCAATTTTGTTGCCAGAAAATATTAGTCAGTAAATAGTATTAAAAGCTTTCTGCTTTTAAGTGGTTTTCAAGGGCGGTTCCATGGCTCAACTGTGCTCTTAACCAGCTCACATTATTGGGTGGGGGGGCAAAAAAATAACAATTGTTATTTAAAAGCTGCTGCAAGGCAGCTCCAGCACAACTCTGGAGCACAACTCTTGCCATCACTGGCAAGAATATGGCAAGACCATGAATCCAAGCCCTCTTCTGCACTACAGGTATTTTCAAAGCTGACTGGAGTTCCCAAGTTAAAAGCAGTGATACCACAAGGGCTGGTGAATCAAATATAGATGGAGACCCCTCATGGACAAGAAACAATGGTTGGAAACTAATCAAAGAGAGAAGCAACCTGGAATTAAGGAGAAATTTCCTAATAGTGAAGACAATTAATCAGTGGAACAGCTTTCCTTCAGAAATCATGGGCGCTCCATCACTTCTACACAGTCACTTATCTGAAATGGTATAGGTTCTCCTGCTTGAGCAGGGGGCTGGACTAGATGACCTCCAAGATCCCTTCCAGCTCTGTTCTATAACTATTTCTATGTGGACTTGGGCAGTGTTTATCTCCCGGTTGCAACTGATTATATTCCATTTGCTGGATCTCTGCCCCAGAGGCTGACTTCTGCAGGAATATCACCTTTAATAAAAGCCAATTCTCCATCCCTGATTTAAAAATAAAAAAAGAACAACCTCATTTTTCCTTCCTTAGAATATTTTAAAACACCAAGATGAAAAAGAGGAGAAAAATCATTGTAGTTCTGATGAAACCAGCAATTCCATCATATTTTTTTACACCTGTTTAATCCTGTTATGGACCTAATTATCTCCTCAAGCTGGGCAACAGAGAAGGAAAAGTTGCAAACCTTGGAAACTATGAAGTTCCATTCTTTCTCCCTTTGAAACCTGCCTATTATCAATCTGGAAAATATTCTTGAACCGACCCAAAGTGCCATACAGTCAGAACTGTATGTTCTGACCCTGACATTATAAAGTAACAAATTGCATGCTAAACTGCAAGTGAATAAACTTAGTATTTTTTTTAAAAAAAGCAAATGCTTAAATAAACCCTAAAGGATGTTCACACTGACATATTTCAGTTCAGTATGACCCAAGCTCATGAAAGACTTTTGTCTATATTTTGTTTACTTTAAGCACTCTGAATTCCATTAGGAGGACATACCCCACCAGTTATATTAAAGCTCTTTCTCCCCTTCACACATTCATCAGATTTCAGAAGGAGCTTCACTTACCTGGATATGGAAGTCTTCATTCTGCTACTCCTCGGCATTGGACTTTGCCAAGCCGCTCGAGACAAATTGGACAGAAATGATCCAGAAGTTGTCGATGCTGTGGCTGGAGCAATAACAGCACTTAATGAAGACAGAAGTCATGGAAATAAGTTGGCCCTAGATGCCATCCTTCATGCCTACAGAATAGTAAGTAAATTTGTTAACAACATCTAAAGGCTAATTAGTGAGAATTTCATAATTGGGGAATGCACCATCAGCGCCTTCCTCCCAACATTGAATGGTGGTCATCTGATTTAATATTTAATTTAACAGAAAGAAAGAAAAATAGTACATGCGGGCAAATAGTTATCTTTTCTGTATTCAGTTCTTTTGACTTGGGATTTTTCTCTTTTGCAATCTCATTCCCCCATCCTAAGATTTGCTAAAAGGAGCCCCATTGCTATTCCAATGAACATTTAGTGACAGTAAGTGGACCTTCCCAACATAATCCAAAAATATTGAACTTCAGCTCAATAAAATTAATTCCACAAGCAGTGAGGGAATTTGCCTTCCAACCAAGCGTTTTAATTTCAAAAACTTTATTTTGGGAGCGGGAGAATTCTTCCCTATTTCCAAACAATCTTTATGAGCCTGGCACTTTTGAAGTAGATTGGATTTCCATCCCTGGAACTGAGGGAATTATTGGAGCTGCAGTCCCAAATTTTGGAGGGCACGATTTTCCTTCCCAATTTTGCTGCTCTGCCCTACAAACATAATACGATGCAACCTTTTGGTGCGTGCGTTCCATTTAACATCGCCTATCTTGGGATTTCCATGAATTTAATTCGTGGAATGAATTGGCAATGCTGGAATCGATCCAAGGGAGCCGTTTGGATTCCAAGGGTCAGAGGTGTTCCTGAGAGAGATTGTGGGTATGCACACATGCCCTGTTGGCAGCCTCCCTAAGTCAGTTGGGTGTATTCCAGGGATCACACTGCAATAGAGAATGGGCCTGCATAATCCAAGGAAACACCTTTTACCCTCTCTGAATCCAAAATGCTTCCCTCTACAAAGCCATTATAGATAGTCCACAACTTAAGATCCTTAATTGGGACTAGAATTTATCTTGCTAAAGAAGGTGGTTTTCATGAGCTGATTTTACTACCTTTTTTTTGGCACGGTTGTTAAGTGAATCGATGCAGTTGTGTGAATCATGCAGTCGTTAAGTGAATCCAGCTTACCCCATTGATTTTGATTGACAGAAGCTGGCTGGGAAGGTCATAAATAATGACCCTCAAGATGCCGGACCATCATAAATACATGCTGGTTGCCAAGTGCTCAAATTTCAATCATGTGACCATGATGGTGCTGTGTCGGTCATAAGTGTGAGGACGGTCATTTTTCCCCAAAAAACTGCTGTAATTTTGCACAGTTGCCAAACGGTTGTAAATTGAGGACTACCTGTATTGATACAACTTCAACTATTTCTCTGAGGTTCTTTGGACCATTACATGCTCAAGAAACATATAGAATAGAATAGAATAGAATAGAATAGAATAGAATAGAATAGAATAGAATAGAATAGAGTAGAGTAGAGCAGAGCAGAGCAGAGCAGAGCAGAGCAGAGCAGAGCAGAGCAGA